CTCTCTCTGTCTCTCATGAATAAATAAATAAAATCTTAAAAAAAAAAAGAATAAGAAGTAGCCAGAGTTTAGACTTATGATAGTTGCATTAAATTCTGTCATTGATCCAGCAACATCCAACAAAATAACATGAAAGGTAAAGCTTTAGAAAGAGTGATCACTGGGGCGCCTGAGTGGCTCAGTCGGTTGAGCATCTCACTCTTGATTTCTGCTCAAGTCTTGATATCAGGATTTTAAGATCAACCCCCGCCGCAGGCTCCCCACTTAGTGGGAGTCTGCTTGAGAGTCTCTCCCTCTCCCCTGCCTCCCCTCCCCCTCGCTCACACATGCTTTCACACACACTCTCTCTCTCTCAAATCAATCAATTAATCAATCAATCTTAAAAAAAAAAAAAGAAAAGAAAAAGAGTGATCACTAAGAAGAGTTTGCTACACCAGTAGGTTTGCTACAGTCTTGTGAATCCGACTGATGAACTCTCTTGGAATCACTGTTTCATGTTTCCCCTTGGTGTTTGGTTTGGGGTGTTTTCTTGAGTGTACCACTCAGGCTGAAGATTTCTGTGGATCACAACAGAGTCACATTCCCTGCTGTAGCCACCTGCTCTTTCTGTCAATTTTCTGCATACAGTCTTACTAGAGATGTGCAAATACCTTGCTCTGTTCCAGGCGCTCTAAAGCTTCTTTGTAAGATGCTGGCAAGGGAAACACGGACTGCCCAAGAACTGCCTCCATTTGGCTTAGGTTAGTGCAAATTTTCTCTTTAATTTTTCTGTAGCATTTGTAATTCTCAAGACACCTATGAAGCACAGTTAGGGGAAAAAAGTGTTATTAAATTTTATTTAATACAATAAATTCTGGACTTCCCAGAATGAATTCTGAACACTTAATAGTATGTCATTCTCTTTGTGCTATTCAGTGTTTTTCACCAAATTTTTATTGACTGTCTCCTCCTCCCAGGGACCTGTATGAGACTTTTAATGCAAACTTAACAGGCAGATAAGACTGTTCTCAAAACACCTGAACTGTAGGGGCGCCTGTGTGGCTTAGTTGGTTAAGCATCTGCCATTGGCTCAAGGCAAGATCCCAGAGTCTTGAGACTGAGCCCTGTGTGGGCCCCTGCTCAGTGGGGAGTCTGCTTCTCCTTCTCCCTCTGTCCTTCTCCCTGCTTGTGGTCTCTCTCTCTCTCTCAGATAAAATTTAAAAATCTTTTAAAAAAATGCCTAAACTGTAAAATTGCGTTCTTTAACACTGCTAATGAAGTATAAATTCTTCATTGAAATTCTGAAGTATAATTCTTATAGAAAACCACTTAGTCTTAAAAATGCTCATATCATTTGAACCATTAATTCAACTTCCACAATTTATCTTAAGGAATTAATCCTCAAAGTAGGAATTTATCCTAAACCTGATAAAACCTTTTACATAGTAAAATCTTTTTACTTATTAAACTAGTAATTAAAATGGCAAAAATTTGAATATACTTTACATGTAACAAAAGATACGGTTAAGTATATTACAACAGTCCATTTTGTAAAATATTTTATAGCAAATGCAATTACTTTTATGAAGTTTTGTTACAATAAGGAAAAGAGCACATGTTATAAAGTAAAGGAAAAGCAGCAGCCTATTTTCATAGAGCATAATGTGCTATATTAAAAAACATTATGAATAAAATTATATGTATAAAATTGATAGTCTAAATCCCTAAACAATTAAAAATTGAGTATCAAGTATATTTTTTAAAAATTATTCAAATAAAATAATAAATTGGAAAGGAATTAAGGAGTATTCAGAGACCCCAAACTATATGAAAGTTGAAATAGAGAGAAATAAGCTGAGCCCTAAGGACAGTTTTTCACTTTGAGGGCATTTGCTGAGTTTCAGTTTTATTAGCCCTTCCCTGGAATGCTGGGGGCCAAAGGATAAAGCCTCAAACCAGGATAGGTATTTAATAGGAAACCCTCTCTGTAAAGATATATGTAACATATATAACAAAAGACGAGCTTCCAAAATATAGCATAAATCTCTACAAGTCAAAAAAGAAAAGATGAGCAATCCAATAAAAATTGGGCAATGGTTTGAGCAGGCAGTTTTTCAGAAGATGAAATATGAAAGACCAAGAAATACTCAAAAAAGAGGCTCATATATCTTAATAATAATGTAGTAATAGGGCGCCTGGGTGGCTCAGTTGGTTAAGCGACTGCCTTCGGCTCAGGTCATGATCCTGGAGTCCCTGGATCGAGTCCCGCATCGGGCTCCCTGCTCAGCAGGGAGTCTGCTTCTCCCTCTGACCCTCCCCCTCTCATGTGCTTTCTCTCATTCTCTCTCTCAAATAAATAAATAAAATCTTTAAAAAAAAAATAATGTAGTAATAATAGAGAAGCAATAATAAGATGTAATAATAATAGAGATGCTCATACATGTTAATAATAATAAAGTAATAATAATAGAGATGCAATTAGAACCACAATGAAATATCACTTCTCATCCATCAGACTGGCAAAAATTAAAACTCCCTTGGGGCACCTCGGTGGCTCAGTTGGTTAAGCATCTGACTTCAGCTCAGGTCATGATCTCGGGGTCTTGGGATGGAGCCTCGTGTCAGGCTCCATGCTCAGCAGGGGATCTGCTTGTCACTTGTGCTCTCTCTCAAATAAATAAAATCTTTAAAAAAGAAAATTAAATCTCCCAACATCGGGTATTGGTGAGGATATGAAACAGTTGGAACATAGAATATTCTTGGAACACTAGTCTGAGTAGAAATAAGTAAAATCATTTGGAATTTAAAATGTAAGCTGTGCATACCTTTTGACCCAATAATCACAATCCTTGGTATATATTCCAGGGAAGCTCTTGAATTTAAAAATGTTCCTGTTGGCACTGTTTGTAAATGCAGACTAGAAAAACCCAAATGTCTATCAATAGCTGGGTGACCAAATTTTGCTATAGACAAGTACATGAATAAACTTCAGCATCATAATGATGAAATTGAAAAAATGAAGTGACAGAAGAATACACATACATGAAAATGGGGCACAAACACATAGTAAAAATTTTAAAAAGAAGAAAATGGTAAATAAAAAATTGGACATAATTGTTAATTCTGAGAAGAGGAAAGGACCACACACAAGAATTCAAAAGTCATGATGTTTACCTTTGAACTTTTGGGTACAAAGCTGTTTGTTTTATCATTATTCTTTATATCATATGCAGACTTTTATAAACATTCTGTTGTATGTACTCAATATTAAATAAAGTAAAATAAATAAAATAAAATATTTGCTATGGTTTTCTGCAGATGATTTTTACATTTTTCCATATTTTCCAAATTATTTCTAATGTGTACATGTTAATTTTAAAGAAAAATAGATCTTAATTTTGTTCTTAAAGCATTACCTTTAGAAAGAAGTACCTACCTTTCTAGTTCACTTTCTTTTACTTTGGCTGCCTCCCTCATGGCTGAATCCTTAGAAACTAATTCCTGTATAGTACACTGGAGTTGTTGTTTGGCTTCAGGGCTGCATATAGTCCCCAGTTTCTCAGTGAGGTCCTGGATGTCTTCTATCGTGGACTGCAATTCCTCTTGTTTCCAGCCAGGCATCTCCAGTGGTTCTTCTGGGTTATCAAGGTCTACTTTATGGGACGCAACAATGGCTTCACGGGTAGTAAAGATCCCCATTGCCCTTATGACTGCCTCATTATAGCGTGTCATACTTTCATAAGCATCATTCAAAACATCCTGGTGAATAGGAGATTAAATGTTGTGACAAAGCTGTCAAACTTTGGGGACTTTTATCATTCTTGAATTTTTGTAGTACATTCATAATATGTCTGGGTCTTATAAGGGCTAGCAACTCCTACTTTTAGTTTGACAGTATTACACTAGTATTTAAAGGCAAATAAATTGTTGTTTGCATAAAGAAAAATTGTTTCCAGATTTGCTAAGAAATCTACTCTAAATTCAAAAATACATCTCATGAATCATGTCTGATGACATATGTTCCTGTTCTAGAATTCTTATATTACACTATGAATTAAATAAAACAACGGAATATATTTAATGTATATAACTTTAACAAATATTTGTTGGGAGGGGGGAATTAAAAGAAAACACACACAAAAAACAGATTTCTTGTGTTTTTGTTTTTATTTTTTTTAAACTTTATTCATTTATTTTAAGTAATCTCTACACCCAACATGGGACTCAAACTCATGACCCTGAGATCAAGAACTGAGCTAAGATCAAGAGTCAAACACTTAACCGACGAGGCCACCCCGGTACCCCACATCTTGTGTTTTTAAAGAAATGGCTCTGCCACTAACTTTAGTTTTGAGCACATTACCCAATGTCTCCAGACCTTAGTCTTCTTACTAAAATAACAAATAGCCGAAATAAATAACTTCAAAGGTCCCTTCCAGTCCAGCTCTAATCTTATTATTTTGGAGATTTTTGTCATTGTTTCTGGAAACGATACTAAAATCAAGTAGAGAAGTACTGAATTTACTCAACATTTTTAAAGTACCAATGTAAAAAACTGGTTAAGTACCAATTTTAAGAATATTAGGATTCATAATATGACTTTACATTTAGAGCACTTAAACCTATTAAAATATTTCAAAAATATTATCTAATAATTCTTGGGATGGAAGGAAGGGAGTTAAATTTCCCCCATCCTATAAATTTAATGCAACAATTCTGAAAACACAGTGAAAGGCATTATATTAGGTACATGTGTTCCAATAATGCCTAAGCTGTCTATCCTATTATTGTGGAAAAGGAGGGAGTATGTTGGAGTCATTCTATAACAGAGGTCAACAAACTTTTCCTGTAAAGGGGCAGACTAAGTATTTTAGGCTTTGCATTCCATCTGGGCTATCACAACTACTCAACCCTGCTGGTGTAGCAGGAAAGCAGCTGTAGACATTCTCTAAAGAAGTAAGCATGGCCATCATCCAATAAAACTTTATTTACAAAATCAGGCACTGTGGGCAGATTTGGCCCATGAGCCTTCATTTAATGACCCCTGCTCTAAAATCAGACAGATCTTGATGCAAATCCTGGTTCTGTTACTGCTGTAAGAGCTAAGAAAATGGTTGATGTTCCTGAACTTAAATTTCCTTATTTTAAAATGGGGCTTACATATAGCACCCACCTCACAGAGTTGCTGTGAGGATTAAAAACAAAGTATTCAGCACAGCACCTAGACACTGAAAGTCCTAAAGAGACGTGGAGCTATTATTGTATGTTCTTTTCACTACACCCTATTTCTTCTATTATGCCTCACTATTTCTAAAAAAACAAAAACCAAATTTTGTATGAGCTCAACAGAGGCTACAAGGGGTATAGAACTAAAGCTGTCACACTCCTCTTTCCCATCTATACGGCACTGACTGTAGTTAGATATAGAATGAGTCAGGATCATAAGTTGGCCCACAGCAAGTTTTTAAAATGGCTATTCTACGGGGAATGTTCATGTAGAACCTCTAACTTCTCAAGAAGCACACATACTAAATAGAGTAAAACCTAAGATCATGAAATAAAAGAAATGCATTAACTGCCTAATTAAGAAAAAAACTTACCGTGCGCAAATCAATGCTTGTATTAAGCTGCACGTGAAGATCTTCAATGTCCCGCAATTTTGTCTCCACAACACAAGCATCAGGGGAATTCTCCTCTCTTTGCTTCTCAATAAGGGTCACTGCTTTCATGCTATCCATTTCCACCTGAACTTGCTCTTGGAATGCTTCGCAATTCTCCTTTTCATTTTGAATATGTTCAATGTCCAAATTTATAAGTAAAGGCTGCTCTACCTGAGACTTTACCTGATTCAAAACATGTAAGGAATTTTCCAGTTTGTCCTGAAAATTCTTTTCATCCATTTCTTTCGGTTGGGATTTTAATACTCCATTTTGGAGGATCTTGTGTAACTTGTCATTTTCTTCCGCATACAGCTTTATTTGGAGTATTTCTTTCTCTTTGAATGAGTCATCGAAGGCCTTACTTTCATTTAATTTCTCTATTATTTCTTGACACAAGCACATAGCTTTCTCAATTCTCCGCTTCAAAATTTGAGCACTGAGCAAAATGCTTTCTGGTGACGTATGGGGCATTCCTAATACTGCTTCAGCCCTTTTCTTAATTTGCAAATCCATAGCTCTCAGTTTACTTAGTGACACTTGGTATTTGCTATGTTCTGCCACAAATGTGTCCAACTGCTTAATTTTTTCCTCAAGTTCCTTTTCTTTTTCAAATACTACTGCTTGTAATTGGTCGAGCTGGGAACAATCCCAGTTTAGTCCTATAGAGTCAAACACTTCTTTGAGTTTCAGTACCTGTAGGATACTAGACTGAATACCAGTGATTCGGTCTTTAAGACTGTAGAGTTCCTCTTTAACATCTTCATTCATTTCTTGATTTAGTAGCAGTTTGCTGTGCTGTAAATGGTCAACCTCCTTCTGAAGCACAGATGCTTTTTCACGGAATTCTCTGTAAAAATGTATCTTGTGTTCTACTTCATTACATTTATTTTGAATGAATCTTTGCATTCTGTTGGCTCTAGTCTTAAGATTTTTCAGTTGGTCATCCAGAAATAACCTTTCAAACACACTCAGATCCTTACAGAGGTTTGTTTGTTCCTGAAAGTGGGCTGCGATTACATTCTGTGCTTCTTGCAATTCCTTCTGAGAACTTGTCAATGTGACCTGCTCCTGTTCCAGTTCAGTTTCTGTGGAGGCTGTTCTCATCTTGGGAATTATCAGTGCTTCGTTTTCTTGAAGTGAAAGTTGCACCTTCTCTATGACTGCAATAAATCTGTTTCTTTCTTCCAATTTAAATTCTAATCGCTGTGATCTTTCAGTCGATTTTAAAATTAGCATTTGGTATTGATTCTGGAAGTCCTGTAGGAGGTGATTTAAATCATGGCTCTCCTCTGCTGAAAGGTTAGGAATATCATTTTTGACCTCTTCAACCAATGACTCCACGGCCTGCTGCTTACCCAGGATGCCATCGTGGGTCACCTTGCATTTTCTGATCTGTGAAAGAATGTCATCTGGGAGAAGGGAAATGGCGGGAGTGAGTTCACCTAGCAGATTCTTGACCCACAGGATAATCTCTCTCATCTTGTTCCTTATTTCGCCCTTCTGGATTTGATTTTCCACCTGGACGTTTAATGGCTCCAAGGCTTCTAATTGCTTCTGCAAGTTCACCATTGCATCTTCCAAAGTCTTCTTTTCCTTTTCTCCCCAGATCCTCTTCATCTGAAATTCAGCTTGCCCCTTTAAAATGGAAAATCGATGCTTGATGGTCCGGAGCTCAGTGGCCAAGGCCACTGTGCTTGCACTTCCCTCCTGTTCTTCTGGAGAGTTCAGCCCTAACTGTAGACACTGCTGCTGCTGCTGCTGCAGAACAATGTCCAGGTCTTGGATCTTGCTCATGAGAAGTGTAAATGCCTCATGTTCTGCTGCTTGCTGAGAATACTTCTTTTGAGCCAGTCGTTTCACTTGTTCCCAACTATGTGCAAGTTGCTTGATCTGGCTTTCGAGCAACTTCTTATCCATGTCAGTCAGACAGTTTGATAAATTTTCCCATTTGATTTTCATCTTGCTTAAAGAACCTTTCTCTTTTTCGACTGATGCCAGGAATGTTTTAATTTTGTCCAGATAAGTTGCACTATCCAGTGGTCCCCTAGAAAGAGAAAAACAGATGGAGCTTGTTAATATTTATTATGTATCAACATGAGGTGAGAGGTCATTAGAAGAAATGAATTCTTCTTTGAATTCACGGAAGAGAAGATTGTCTCTAAGAGCCCACTGTCCTTAAAAATCAGAATCTTGTTTAGTGTGGCTCTCACCTATAAAGCTCACCTATAAAATATGTTTCATAAAAATGTGGAACCACAGGGAAGGAGTGAAGAGTGAAAGGGAACAGTGTCTGTAAAAGGACTCTGAACTGTAAAGGATTTGCACGAAGCTGAGTCGAGGACTAAGAAATCACAACATCCAACCACGTCGTTATCATCTTACCAACAATTATGACTGAGAGGGTATAATCACCCGGATAATCTTTTGAGTATAAAATTGTTTCCTCAAAGGGAGATCACTGAAAGTAAACCCCATCAAGGCAAAGCTATAAAATCAACCTTTGTAATAGTGGGAAAGTGTTTACACAATAAGGCTATATCTGCAACCATTTGCTATTATTTTCAAAGCCAAAAGGAGTATATATATGTAAAAAGAAATCATTAGGATAGATATATATTCAGTATGTTCCAAACTATTTAAACCAATTATGTGGATACTAACCAACTGTATACATAGAATATTTCTTTCCACCCCCACAGTTTAGGATAAACTCTTGACAAAAAGAGTGCTGAATTCCATAGAATCTAAATCTACTTGGCAGAATTTAGTGTGAATTGTTTAATAAATTATTTGTAAAATGAACATAATTTAATTGTAAAAATCAGTACAAATAATATAAAATTTATTGCATGAAACTGACAATTTTCTTCAATGGCCTCCGTATGGAATTAATTTCATACTGTAGTATTAAAATCATAATATCCTTTCATAGTATAAATTCTTTTTTTTTTTTAAAGATTTTATTTATTTATTCATGAGAGACAGAGAGAGAGAGAGAGAGAGAAGCAGGCTCCCAAGGAGCAGGGAGCCCGATGTGGGACTCGATCCCAGGACCCTGGGATCATGACCTGAGCCGAAGGCAGACGCTTAACCATCTGAGCCACCCAGGCGCCCCTCATAGTATAAATTCTTAAAACTCGGGACCTGTCTATGGTAGTGCAGCCTATGCCTGAATAAAAAGAATGCAAGTCCTAAATTTTTTTTTTTTAAGATTTATTTATTTATTTTAGAGAGAGAGAGCGGGGTTGGGGGGGGTGGGAGAGGTGAAGCAGGGGACAGAGGGAGAGAAATCCTGAAGCAGACACAGATCCCCTGCTGAGTGCAGAGCCTGATGCGGACTGGATCCCAGAACCCTGAGATCATGACCTGAGCTAAAACCAAGAGCCAGGTGCTCAACCAACTGAGCCACCCAGGCGCCCCACACGTCCTAAATTCTTATACTTACACTTTTAGACTTTCCTTCTCTGTCAACAAGGCTTTCACTGAGGATTCAACTGAAGCAAGGTGTTCCTGAAAATCGTTAAGGAGATAATATTGGCTTTCTTTATTTTTCTTCAAAGTAATAAGTGCCTGAAGCAGATTGTCCAAGTGGTGCACAGAATGTCCTGTATTGTGAAGAACCAAGGCACTTGTTTCTGCTTTATTGAGATACTCCGTCTGTTCTGGTGGTTCAATGGCTGTTTTCTTTGCTTCCAACTGGGCATATAATTCCTAAAAACAAGTCAAGGAAATCAGTAAATATATACTCACTCATTTACTCATTAATTTTTTTCTTTCCAATAACACGTTCTATCCCAAAAATAGGCTTTAAATATTTCATTTGCACACAGAGAAACTAAGGTGCTGACATTTTAAAGCTTTTTTTCCACTAGAATCATGTTAAAATCTAGACTGAAACTCACAATGGGTCTAGCATTTAATAGCAATTAGATCTCCCTATTGTGTTAAAAGGTTCTGCAATGTCTAAAGGAAGATTTATCTTATTTTTTTAGGTTGTTCTAGATTTATATACACTCCATTTATATATATCCTTTATCTTATTTTTATTATTCACATATATCACCCCTCTTTTCTGTTTTAAATATATGTTTACAGTTATGTAAACTCAGCTAGAATTGTAGGGGTCATTTTTTTAAAAACATGGCCATGTATTGGACTTTTAGATTATATAGCTATATAAATACATAAATATACAAACATAGCTATGTAAGCACAGCTGTAAAAACAAAGGAGTACCCCATAATGTTGATAATTAGGAAAAGTAAATTTGTCAGAATCTGAAGAATACATCTGACTAAGAAGAGGAATGATAAGTCAGAATTTCCAAATTTTGTTACTGAATAAGTAAGTTTTTAGGAACTTCATGAAAAAGACTAATGTTCATTAAACTCTTCCACTTTTTAAATGGAAAGATTTATACAACTTACTGATTAGTACATAATTATATAGTTACCAAACTGATCATCAGGCAAAGGTTAAATAAGACTTTTCATTCTGTGCAAGCAAGTTTCTGGTAATTAAAATATATTGTATTGCACTGGATAAATGATGCAATCATGTTGTCAGTGTTTTTCTTGTTTCCATACCTCTATCTCTTTTAATTGTTCATTTCTTAACATAACATCTAATTCTAAAGGTTGATTTTGCAGCTCATTGACTTTATGCTCATCTTCAGTGTTTTTCATGCTTTCTTGAACATCCAGAGAAAGTTGTTTTGACAAAACCACTTCCACAGCTGAATTCTGAAAACATAAAAAGATTAACTGCTGAACAGTCTACCTTACAAATAAATAATTTTTCTTTCTCTTGGTGAAAACATTCCGGTTCCTTCTATTTACTTAAAGACTTTCCAAAAGTATCTTTGGGCACTATCAAAGATGATTTTTCCATATAATATTTAATTGCTTTTATTGGTATCTCACCAAAAAAATCCCTTTTTTGGCAAGATAGTATAGGATCTCTGATTATATTGTGAGGCATAATCTAGTCTTAAGAAAGAAAACAGATATGGAAAAAATAAAAGTTCCGAAGTTTATGCTTAGTATTCACTGTGATGCAGAGGGCAGAGCAAATAACAGGCATTCAACGTTACCTATTGGTAGTTTAAAATAGTAAGTGGACAGATGGCAGAAACACCAGGATTTCATGGTATTAAGAATGAATTATGCCTTACACCAATTCATAGGAAGAACTCCAAGCTGGGTAAGGCAGGTTATATATGTAGTAATATGATCTTTTCTGAAAGCTACAAGAACTTGACTTTCTCATAGGGTACATAGAGATGCATCTGCATTCATTTGATTCATTCTTTGGACAAATATTTGTTGAGCACGAACATGTACCAGGTGCCATGTCCATAATTTTAAAAGATTCCCATTATTTTGCTAAAGTATTAGTTTTTATTTTCCGGTTACTTTATAAATGAAATACCATTTGATTTTGTCATGTCAGTAAGGTCTGTATCAAGTCTGTGAATAAGATGTGTCCACCTCCCCCAATAAGGTAGAAACTGTTGTTGTAAAAATACTACCTGGATACCAATGCAGAATGTTAACAATAAGGGAAACTGGGTAAGAGATACATGAAAACTTCCTGTACTATCTCTGCAACTTTTCCATCAATGTAAAACTACCCTAAAGTTAAAAGATTAAATAAAACAGATGTACGGACATGTATATGTCTGGAGCTTCACCAAAATTAACTGGTAAGAAAATTCAGCTGAGCAGTGTTTTGGGTTTTGACACAGTTGGCACTTAGCACAAGTCACTTCTTTAAAAGGCTACACATGATTAAAATGATCTTATACATTTCCTCCATTCCCAACAATTTATTCGTGCAAAACTATAGTTTAAAATCTACAGGGAAGACAGCATCTCAGGAGGAAGGATCCAGGAAGGCTGTGAGAGGAAAAGAGAGGGGCCACACCACAGGCTCCATCGGCCTATGGGTGTTCCTTGCGAGGAGTCACAATCACAGGGGGTGGATGTCAGCCTCCCACTAGATGGTTATTGTTCCTTACAATACCCCCCAAATCCACCTGCAGAATAAGAGTGCCTGAGGTAAAGTCTAAGATATTAGACCCTAGGAAGACTTGACTTACTATCAATCATCTACTAAGAATTCAGAGCCCTAGGTCTATCTTACCCCATAAACCAGTGACTTGAGGACTAGCAACAATTTGCCACTTGTAATCTGCCTTTCGTAGTCAGAGAGAGCATTCTGAAAAACCTGAAATCACCCCAAAACACCACTTGTTTACCAGCTCCAAAAGCCATGTTTCTACCTTGGCAGAAAATCCAACAGAGTCCCTCAAACGAACATTTCAAATTTAAAAGGTAACATTCTCTTGCTCATGCCAGAGAGGTTGGAACACAGACTCAAGGTCCTGATTGGCTCCTGGAAAGATTCTTTTGTAGCCAGTCATCCTTTGCCCATCACCCTTGACTGTATTTTATTTTGATTTTGCAGTCTCACTTGAACGATTTTATTTTAAATATATGATATTTCAAACATAGTTAGAAGAACAAAATATAACCTAGTTATTAATGATATTAATTAAAGTATTAATGAAATATTATAAATAATTAGCATTTGTTTATAACATTATACTTATAATAATAGTATTATAGTATATATTAATTTATTTATAATAATATATACTATAAATGAAATAATAAAAGAATATTAATGATACAGATATAAGTGACGTAATTTTCCATATCATAAATATAATTTAAAATTCAACATTCATCCCTCTTTCATCTCTTCCTCCTCAGAAATAACCACTATTCTGAGGGGAAGAATGAAGCGGGGGAAATCGGAGGGGTAGACGAACCATGGGAGACGATGGACTCTGAAAAACAAACAGGGTTCTAGAGGGGAGGAGGGTGGGAGGATGGGTTAGCCTGGTGGTGGGTATTGAGGAGAGCACATTCTGCATGGAGCACTGGGTGTTATCACAAACAATGAATCATGGAACACTTCATCTAAAACTAATGATGTAATGTATGGGGATTAACATAAGAATAAAAAAAAAGAAAAGAAAAAGAAATAACCACTATTCTAAAATATATGCATACATTTAAAAAAATATATTTATTCACTTAAATAATCTCTACTCCCAACATGGGGCTCAAACTCATGTCCCCGAGATCAAGAGGCGCACGCTCTTCCGACGGAGTCAGCCAGGCGCCCCACACATGCATTTTTATACTTTTACTACATATATTAGTATTCATACAGTATTGTTTTATATATTTTAATTCTTATAAAACTGGAATCATGTATTATCATTTTATAATTTGTTGGGTTTTTTTTTCCCACTCAGCAGTAGGTTTTGGGGTTTATTCATGGTGACAGATATAAATATGGTACGGTCATTTTAGCTTTGTATACTGTTCTCCTGTCTGCATGAACATGACTTATTGATCTGTCAGGCTACTGTGAACATAATATTGTTTCCAGTTTTTCTTATTAGAGATATTGGTCCAACACCCTTGTATAGGCCCTTTTGCACATTTGTGTGAGTTTCTTTGGGATATTTTCTAGAACTAAAATTATTCCTTTTGATCATCAATAGATAGTTGTCGATTTGTTCTCCAAACTGAATTACAGTTTTTACTCCCACCGGCATGGTAAAAGAATTCATATTTTCCCTAATCCTCTCTGATACTTGGTGCTAAAAGACTTAATTTCTGCCAATATAATCGATGTGAAATTGATATCATTATTGTTTTAATGGATTTCTCTGGCTGCTACAAAGACTGAGCTACTCTCCTAGAAGAAAACATGAGCAGTAAGCTCTTTGACATAGGTCTTAGCAATATTTTTTTGGACCAGTCTCCTCAGGCAAAGGCAACAAAAACTAAAACAAATGGGACTACATCAAACTAAAAAGCTTTTGCACAGCAAATGAAACCATCAACAAGACAAAAAGGCAACCAACTGAGTGGGAAAAGATATTTGCAAGTCACATACCTGATAACAGGTTAACAGCCAAAATATACAAGGAACTTACACAATTTATTAAAAAAAAAAACTGATTAAAAAATGGGCAGAGGACTTGAATACACATTTTTTTCCAAAGAAGACACAGATGGCCAACAGGCACATGAAAGATATTCACCACCACTAATCATCAGGGAAATGCAAATCAAAATCACAATGATATTACTTAGCCATCAAAAAAAATGAAATCTTTGCAACGACGTGGATGAACGAGAAGGTATTACACTAAGCGAATTAAGTCAGAGAAAGACTATCATATGGTCTCACTCATATGTGGAATTTAAGAAGCAAAACAGAAGATTATAGGGGAAGGGAGGGAAAAATAAAATAAGATGAAATCAGAGAGGGAGACAAACCATAAGAGACTCTTAACTCTAGGGAACAAACTGAGGGTTGCTGGAGGGGAAATGGGTGGGGGGAAGAGGTAACTGGGTGATGGGCATTAAGGAGGGCACATGATGTGATGAGCACTGGGTGTTATATACAACTGATGAATCACTGAATTCTACCCCTGAAACTAATAATACACTATATGTTAATTAATTGAATTTAAATAAAACTAAATTTTAAAAAACACAATGAGGTATCACCTTACACCTGTCAGATTGACTATTATTAAAAAGGCAAAAATTAACAAGTGTTGGTGAAAATGTGGAGAAAAGGGAACCCTCATATACTATTGATAGGAATGTAAATTGGTTCAGCCACTATGGAAAACATGAAGTTTCCTCAAAAAAATAAAAGTAAAAATACCATACAATCCATCAATTCCACTTCTGGGTCTTTATCCAAAGAAAACAAAGACACCAATTTGAAGAGATATATGTCTCCCTATGCTCATTACAGCATTATTTACAACAGCCAAGATATGGAATCCACCTAAGTGTCCCTCAATAGATATATGGATAAAGAAAGTGTAGTATATATAGGCAATGGAATATTGCTCAGTCATAAAAAAGAATAAAATCTCGCCATTTGCAACAACATGGATGGACTTTGAGGGTATTATACAAAGTGAAATAAGTCAGACAGATAAAGACAAAGACTGTATGATTTCATTTATATGTGAAATCTAAAAAAACAAAACAGAGGAGTACCTGGGTGGCTCTGTTGGTAGAGCATGCAACTTTTGATTTGGGGTTAAGTGTTCAAGCCCCACGCTGGGCACAGAGCTTACTTAATTAAAAAAAATAATAAAATAAAAGGGAAAAATAAAAAACCCAGGGACACCTGGGTTAAGTGTCAGTTAAGTGTCTACCTTTGGCTTGGGTCATGATCTCAGGGTACTGGATCGAGCCCCGTGAAGGGTTCCCTGCTCAGCAGGGAGTCTGCTTCTCCCTTTCCCTCTGCTCCCTCCCTCCCCCTTGCTCATGCTCTCTCTCTCACTCTGTCTCTCTCAAGTGGACAGATAAAATCTTAAAAAGAAACAACAACAACAAAGAGAAAGAGACTCATAGATACTGTTGGTTACTGGAGTCAGGAGGGCTTGGGGGTTAGGTGAAAGAGGTAAAGGAGATTAGAGGTACTAATTTCTAGTTATAAAATAAATAAGTCGGGCGACTGGGTGGCTCAGTCATTAAGCGTCTTCCTTCGGCTAAGGTCATGATCCCAGGGTCCTGGGATCGAGTCCCGCATTGGGCTCCTTACTCAGTGAGGAGTCTGCTTCTCCCTCTGCCCCTCCCCCTGCTTGTGTTCCCTTTCTCACCGTTTCTCTCTCTGTCAAATAAATAAATAA